AAGGAGGCTTCTTTTCCCCTCCTGGCCGATCGCCGGCCGGTCAGCCGGCTGAAGAAGCAGGGGTGAGCTGGGGAGGAGGGCGTGGGAGCCTTCCCCCGCCCTCCTGCCCTAGCGCCGGCCCCATTTTCGGCCAGCGGCCAGCTGATCGGTGGCCGCAGCCATTTTCGCGCCCTGCCCTCGCTTACCGAGGGCGCGAAAATGGCTGCCATTATGAGGAAACATCGCTTTACGGTGAGTGTAGAAGCCATTGGAACGCATTAAACGATGTTTAATGCGTTCCAATGGCATTTTCCTATCCGTATAGCGATGTTTTCTCATAGCGATGGTTAATCCGGAACGGATTAACGTCGCTATACGGGGCACCACTGTATTGTATTGTACATGTATATGACTCCCCAAAGGTATAGGATGACCCACCAGTTATTAACCTTGCAGGAGGTGGAGGAGCAGTCAATGGGCAGCAGCAAGAGGTGGCCGAGCGTGGCTGCTTCTTTGCCCCCGTCTCCGCCTCCTCCTCCTCCTCCTCCTCCTCCTGCTGAGCCTGCAAGTGGCACTGGAGGAGACTGCAGCAGAAGGCGGAGATGGGGGCAAAGAAGCAGCCACACTCAGCTGCCTCTTGCTGCTGCCCATTGACTGCCGCCGCCACTAGATCACCTCCTCCAGCGATTGTCTCCTTCGGGCAGGGGACAAGGTGGCGACGTGAGCTGGAGGTAAGCCTTGGCAGGAGGAGACGGCAATTGGATAGCGGTGGTAGCAGTCAGTGGGCTGCTTCTTTGCCTCAGCCTCCGCCTCCTGCTGCTGCCTTCCATTTATAAAATGACCCTCAATTTTTCCTATAATTATTCTAGGAAAAAGTGTTGTTTCATACACGGAAAAATACGGCAATTCACTGTATTTTTGGTTGATCCTCTTTCCAAGCAAACTTACTGTATTTTCCTGTGTACAAGATGATGTATAAGATGACCCCCACTTTTCTAACAGCAAATTAGAAATTTTGATTGCTGCTTTTCCCGCCACTTCCTAAGCCTGGAGTTTAGCAAACAGAGGGGGAAAGCAGTGATGAAAGGACTGCAGGATCACTTTGATTGATGCTTTCCCCTTCACTTCCTCAGCCCCATGGGGCTTAGCAAAAGGAGGGGTAAAGCGGCAATCAAAGGGCTGCAGGATCACTTTGATTGCTGCTTTCCCCCTCCGGGGGGGGGAAATACTTGCTAAGCTCCATGGGGCTTAGGAAGTGGCGGAAGCAGCAATCAAAGTGATCCTGCAGCCCATTGATCGCTGCTTTCCCCCTCCCTTTGATAAGCCCTGTGGGGCTTAGCAATTGGAGTGGGAAAGCAGTGATCAAAGTGCGGCAGGATTGCTTTTATCCCTTCCCCCTCCACTTGTTTTGTTCTCTTCTCAGCTTCCGTGTATAAGACAACCATCAATTTTTAGTCTAAAGATGTGACAAAAGTATTGTCTTATACACGGAAAAATACGGTACTAGGCTGTCCTGCATTCCAGAACAGAGAAAGGTACAATGCGAAAAGTATTAAACAAACAAACAAACAAACAAACAAATAAATTTAAATGTGCATGGCAGAGTCAAGCCAAGTAAGCAATTCTTGTTAGTTAGTAGAAAAAACTAACATGTATATTTATGGTTTATCTTCTATTTTAGGGTTGAGGAGACTGGGAATCTCTTGATGTTCTTCAAAAGTCTCTCTTGTTTCTCCAAGTGGTGTGAACATCGGAAAAGCACCTTCAACTATTTCAAGGTACTGTTTTTAAATGTTTTATTTCCAGTTGCTGTATTAATTGCTACAATTGTAGAGTAAAAGAACAATGAATTGAGGTAATACTTCTACTTTGTCCAGTGTAGCAAAATATTAGGGCAGTGAAATGATATTGTGACTATCCCAGTTTGGGAGACTATTTTATTTACCTCTGTATTGCCATTTAGAGAAATAAGTGTATGTTTCAAATTTAGATAGATGCTTTATACTTTTGTATCATTTAGAACTTTTATTATTTTATTTATAAGACATAATGGCCAAAGACCTTTTAGGATTTTACACCTGCGTCATGCAACTGCTATAGCTTTTGAAGATGAATTACTTCAAATTAAGAAATTACTGTAGCCGTTATCGATTGTGTGCTGAACCATCTGGATAATTATCTTGTAGTACCAATGCTTATCACTATCTGTTTATGTTTATAGAAGGATTTGGAGAAAATAATTTAACTGACAGCATCAAACATAACTACACTGTAATGAAAATGCTTGATTTTTCCACTGTTTCTGACTGTTGTGAGCACTAGTGAATATCTAGTGAGTTTTTCCTGTTGATTGAAGTGCTTCTGTTAGTTCCCTTCAGCCCTATGTGCACTCCTAAAACATCTCGAAAGAGCTGGGAAGCATTCTGAAGCCATTTTCAGGTAGCGTGCTTGTCTGCTGAGAAGGGGGGAAGACAGTTAAATTGTGCTAGCGCACTGTTGGATAAGGCCTGTTTGTTACTATAAAACTTTTTTCTAATAAATGTCTTTAGGTTATTTCTGATGTGTTGAACACTTATGCAAAAAAGTTACTGTATCTATGTGGCTGCTTGATGGCTAAATGTGTTTAAAATGTGTTTAAAATGGGACATAGAAATACAAACATAATGTCTTGATCCTGTTCATTCTGAAGCAGAGTTTGTTCCAGTTGTGAAGCTTAACCCCATGTAAGTATTATGCTAGCAACCATGTTAACAGCAATTATGGCAAACCAGGTTTCTACTGGAAGCAGAGGACTTTAAAACAGCTTTAGGTTTCAAATGATTAGAGTGGGAATTATGGCTAGCCTTAGCTAGGTGTTATGAGACTGGAAAAAACATTTACAGTAATTGGATTATGTTTCAGGTGGATCCAAAAAGTCAGGGAACTAATGATCCCTGTATCCCAGCTGATACAGTTTAAATGAACAGATAATCATGGCTTGGAATTTTCATGGTGACTTGTTCATAGTGTTCTGAAGTTTTTCCATACTGAAGATAGACTAAAGAACAGTGTGAATGTATCTAGGATTTTTCTTTCTTTCCTTTCTTTTGTCCTTTTTGATGCAGTAGAAGGAGCAGAGAACCATATGACATCAATATATGGAATAAGGGAGTATCTTAAACGTCCAGTATTGCTGGCTATACTGAGGAGGTCCAACATCAGCAGAGTTGAGATGATGGAACAAGAATTGGGGATGGTGTCATTGCCATGGTATTATGTGTTTTGACAAGAACAGACTCTCAGTAAAAGGGCTTTACTGTCTTGGACAATGGTGTAATATAAGATAATTGCAAAAGAGTAGGATGGCTTGACTTCTTTTTCTTTCTAGTGATTGGTTTTATTAGACATGTATTGTAGACAATAAGGAGCAAGTGCAGACTAAAATGAAACAACTCTCTAAAGGATTCACATCATAAATTCATCATGTAACTGAGATCTGATACATTATATTGTTAAGATAACATAGTTACAGTAGAGCTTATTAGCTTTACAATTGTTTTCAGTACCAGTGAATAATTAAATCAAAAAGAATATATGTATCTTAACCAAATATATGCTAAGAGAGTGAGTGCAAATTAGAATTTAATGAGGAAGAAGATGCCTGCAAGGAAGCTTCTATTTCACATACTGATGTTTTAGGTCCCCACTTTTCCTAAGTAGTTGTATTAATTGAGGCTTCATTTTAACATTTAACTTTCCAAATATTATGTAAGAAGAATGCACAACTAGTTAACATTATACATTACTATCTAGCTGTTTCTGGTTATTTTAGCATGTTAAAATTTTCTAAGAAACTCAGTGGAATAAGTGGGGAGTTTCCTGTTCAGAACAGTTTATCCTAAACTAAAACCATCCAAAGTACTTACAATTTCTCCACCTTAGGAAAACCTCTAATAAATGTTCCATAACTTTCCTAAGCAGCTTAACAACTTCTGGACTCTTTTTAATCTGTAATGTTCAAGCTAAAACATTTCTGCTAGAACTAATAGTTTCTTTCTCTGATCTTACTGTCATAAATCCCTCCAATTATTTCAATTACTTCAGTGTATAATGTATTAGAAAACAGTCAATTTGAAACAGAATATTTTGTGTTTTCTATATTTCCTGGGTAGTTTATTCCAGTACTTACAGTGCCAAATCAGGTTTAGATAGTTTGGTTGTGTTTATTTTTGATTGCACATACTTTCATAATGATGTTGAGTTAGATTTGTGTGCAGAGATCACAGTTTTTGCCAGTTGGGAACAGAATAGACAGCAAGTACAGTACTATAAAAGTAAGCCCCTTGAAAACGTCAAGATCTTCTGGCCACAACCAAAAAATATGGTTTACTTCACGTACCCTATACTATTCTTTTGCCACATATGTACTCAAACCAGTATTTTTCTTTCAAACACGCCAAACTATTGTTTCATAAAGTTTTAAATTTTCAGTGTGAATGTTTTTCTTTTAAGTTGCCTTCAGTCGTTTGAAAAATGGAGTGTGTCCTTTTGAATCAAGAGTGTTTGAGTCTCTGTTTTGGAAATAAAAAAGGCTTGGGCTTATTAAAATACAAGTTGTAGTTTCATCAAGTTAAGGCATAACTATATACATTAAATTGCTAAACATTTTGGATATACTGGAAAGATATTAACATAGAAAGACATATTTAAACAGTGATATAATGGTAATCTTTACCTGTTTTTCACCTTTTTTTTGCAATTAAAAATATGTACCTATAGGCAATGTTTTCAAGCACATGTAAGCATTTGGGTACTTTCCCAAAATGACTGGGTTGCCTTCCATTCTTATTTCATCCATGCGCTGTCGAACATAACGGGTCTGATTGTTTCCTTTGCAGAATGTTTCATCAGTGATGCTGGTTATGTTGTTGTACTGCAAACCAAAAAAGTGAATTTGAGAAATCAGAATATCCAGTAAATTAATAGATTCTCATTTCAATATTTTAACTATTAAACACCTTTTTTTCAAGTATCATTAACATTTTTTAAAAAATTATTATAAGGATGCCCATTATAAGTTTATATAGTCATGGTTTTCCTAAAATCTTTTCTCTATTGTCTGGCTCTTCAGTTGCTCTTTTGGTACAGTATTTATGCAGGAATGATGTTTCCTACTTTAGCATTCCAGTCCCCTAGAATGAGAAGAACATCTTTCTTTGGTGTCAGTTCTATAAGGTGTTGTAAATCTTCATAGAATTGTTCAATTTCAGTCTCCTCAGCAATGCTGGTTGGTGCATAAACTTGGATTATTGTGATGTTGAATGGTCTGCCTTGGATTCGTATTGACATCATTCTATCATTTTTGAGATTGTATCCCATTACAGCTTTTCCCACTCTTTTGTTGACTATGAGGGCTACTCCATTCCTTCTATGGGATTCTTGCCCACAATAGTAGATATGAAAAGTGAAATCAATGTAAAAGAACCATTTTCTGTATACTTCAAACAGAGGTTCCTATGCTAACATGTCTCTTCACCAGAATTTTCTACCAGCTCTGTTAGCTTGAACTGCAGTCTTGTGAATATTCTTCGGAAGTGCTATAAGACATCTTCTCCATGGAAGCTCATAGTTCTAATGTAAGGTCACAATTTGGTATCCTGGTGTTCCTTTCCAAGGAACGAATTAGGAAACAGTAGAGAACTGTAGTTCTATAGCTTGTTACCTTGGCATTTTAATTTGTCTAAACTGAAATCTGATTTCTGGTGTTGCATAATTCTGAGTACATACACTCTTCAGTGCAGTGGTTTTCCTCTGTCATAAAGGTAATAGAGTTACAAGATGAAGCAATGTTACTTTTTAGTGCTATCATCATAACTACTGCTTGTTTTGTCAGTTTATGTGTAAGAGGAAATTAGCAACAGTAGTGAATGATGGTTGTTTATGTCAAAAGCAATCCAATGGAGCTTATGGAGTGGAAGGATCAGCGAGCAGGTACTGCTGCTGTTGCCCAGAAGATCTCCAACTGTATTCACAGTCCTCACATTATTTGAGGAAACGTCTTCTGTGTCCCTCACAAGCAAAGTTTTAAAAATTGCAATAAATGTTTTACAGGCAGTTATTTACAATGCTTATAGTTTGTATAGCAGCAACAAAGAGGTTTTGAGACCTGAAGGTGCAGAATACGCAGGCTCTCGGGCAAGTTAAGAGGAACAGTCTCCAGTGCATTATGTGCGAGGTAGAGATAAGCCAAATTGGTCAGCTTCTGTGGGGAGGAAAAAGAGAAAGGGAGGAAAGGAAGATAAATTATGTCAGAAGATGATCCATTACAAGAAAGACTTTCAAATGTAACAACTGGTTAGATGCTATTCACAAATATGTTTGAATGCAGTTGCTTTATAGCAGGGGTCTCAAACATGCGGTCCGGGGGCCATTTGCGCCCCCCCAGATGATAGTTTGTGGCCCTTGCCTTGCCTGCCCCCTCAAAGCGCCCACACATCCTCTGCTGTCAAGAGTAAAAAAAAAGCCTTGCCTCGCTCACCGGCTCTCTCCCAAGACAGCACCTCTTGCACCCTCCATCCAGAACTGCAGCCCGCCAGCCGGGCCACCTGTCTGCCGGCTAAGGAAACTCCTGGGTGGCTTCCTTGGGCTCTTGCTCCGCTTGGCGAAAAATCTGATGCAGCCCAGCCTCACCCAGCCTCTGCCCCCAGCGGCCCCCAGGTAAATTGAGTTTAAAACCCCTGCTTTATAGTATACAACAATTGCTCCCTAGAAGTCTGAAGCCTGTACTATTAGAAAACGTTTTTATTTAGTGTCAGTTTATTATTATTTTTAAAGTGATAACATCAGTAGTGGTACTCAGCATTTAACTCATGTGCTAATATCTCTGTGTTAGATACTGTAGAAATATGGAAGTCATATCCAATTTGCTTATAAAGCCTACAAACTGAAGCTGCTGTCTTATATAGGCAGGCTTGGTTTCCATACCGTGTTGAACCAGAATCTTAATTTTAAAAACACCAGCTTCTATCTGGTTCATTATGTTCCAATGAGTATTGTACGCTGCTCCTTCATTCTCACTGGGGTCTGGCCATCTAGAGCAGCCGACTAAATTAGGAACTTTGCATCAATTGTTTAGCATAATTTCCAAACCAGGAACTAGGCTTGACTGCCCCTCCAAACAAAACAAAACAGAAACCTCAGAGTGAAAGCCCAGGCTTTGTTCTTTATTTATGCTAACTTTGTCGGGGTAGAGACAAACCAAAGTGCTTGGTTTGAATTTCTGCAAAACAAACTACTGGTAGAAAGTTCTGTGGTTGGTTGTTAGCCACTATGACTGGCAAGAATATCCCAGCGGGGGCAAACAAACAGAATAGGCCAGAGGTTTGGCTCATTCACAGCAAGTCAGAATTTATTATTTATTTTTTAACGGAACTGGCTTGATATGATATCTGAACTAACAATATACAGTGCTTTTTTAATAGTGTACAGTGGTGCCTCACATTGCGATGGCCCCTATGGGGAAAATTCGCTTTGCGATGATCGCGGGGAAGCGATCATCGCAAAGCCCCAATTTTTGGGATGATCGTGGGGAAGCGCTTCCCCGCGATCATCCCAAAGCCCCCTGCGATCAGCTGTGCAACCGATGGACCTTTTGCCATCGCAAGAGCGATCACTTTGCGATGGTCCCTATGGGGAAAATTCACTTTGTGATGATCGCAGGGAAGCGATCATCCCAAAGTCCCCATTTTCGCACAACTGATCGGCGATTCCAAAATGGCCGCAGGTAAACAAAATGGCTGCGTGCTGTTTTGCCTCGCTTTAGAGGCATCCCTATGGAGGATTTATAAGGTGAGTTTTTAAGCCCATAGGAACGCATTAAACACGTTTTAATGCGTTTCTATGGGCTTTTAAAAATCGCTTAGTGATGAAATCGCATAGCAGCGATTTTTGCTGCAGAGATTAACATCGTTAAGCGAGGCACCACTGTAATTAATTTATTTGTTGTTGTTTTTTTGGCTGAACCTGTTTTGGGGTCCAGCAAAGGAGAAGAATGGGATATAAATTATATGTATTATTTTCCCAAAGTTTTCATGAACTGCAGGCTGTGGCCCACTTCATAATGTGGCCAATATGTGGCCTGTGATGACAGATTTTCAACCCTTAGCATGTGACCCTCCATGGCTCCAAAATCTAAAATAATAATAATAATTTGGGAGTTTGCTATTCAGAAAGGCCTCTTGTGACATCTAGGGATGAGGGTTAATTTTCCTCCTGACCTCACACCACCTTAATTTTTTTAAAAAAGAATTGTTACTAGAGGACTTTTAAAATTTTAAACACCCAAATTTAAAAGTTAAGCCATTTTTTCAGTTAACAAAAATCCCTTGTAGCAACCTTAATCATAGAATGATGGTGTTGCAAGGGGCCAATAAGGCCATTGAGTCCAACCCCCTACTGAACACAGGAATGCCCGTTAAAGTATATCTTACAGATGGTTGCCTAACTTTCTCTTGAGTGCTGCCAGTGTTAGAGTATTCACCACTTCTCAAGGTAATTGGGTCCACTGTCATAACACTCACACTTAGGAATTCCACTCCCCCCCAATATTAAACTGAAATCTGGCTTCCTGTAACCTGAGGCAGTTATTAAGTATTCTTGTTATCTGTTGCTTTAATTTAAAAGAGAAAAAGAGAGAGAAACCATTTAGCCTCAGCCCCTTTTGAATACAGTCCTCAGACTCTTGGCAAATCTCAAAAATTATCCTCAGCCCTGCTGAAATTGCCCCACCCCTCTGCATGATTGTCCTAGTTTCTGTTACCCTGAAAGCATTTGCTTTAATTCCTCTGCTCTTGATTTTGTTGTTGTTCGCATTCATTGTAGTTAGCTTGGGTGGCAGAACTGGAAGTTTGACAATTGCGTTATCAGCAAGGGAAAGTTCTTCTAATAATAGGAGTTTTGCAAAGGCTCCATCTTCAATTTCTTGAATCCTATTTCCAGTGAAATCAATTCTTCGTAGGGTGGCTTGAAAAGAAAAAGTATTAATTTAGGTTGCAGTAGTCTTTGCAAATAAATTGCCTTGAATTTCAGCACTGAGAAAGAGATTAAAGATACGACATTTCCCCACCCTTTCCTTTCTGTCTTATATAGTACTATATAACACCAACAGTTGTCATTAAAGCCATTTCAGCGGCAAGGCCATACAATCTTCTAATTGTGTCATGGTAGTCCATTAATGGGTAGGACACCTTGAGTTAAAGACAGGATAGAAATCAAACAAATCAAATAAATAAATTATTTTAAAAGGAAAGAGCACAGTTTGCTTACTTCTTGGTTCCTTCTGTCTGTTTTTGCTCAACTGTCATCAATATTATGTTCGCACCAAGGTACCTGCCAGATAGTTGTTGTTTTGTTTTAAGTAGGGATCATGCTGCTGATCACACTTAACACAGATTGTAATTAGTTCCTAGTTTTGCCATCATAGATGGGCTTTGGATATTGGCTTTTTCTTTCCCAGCATGTACAATTGATATACTATAGCTTCTGCTGAATCTAATTTGTCCTGCCATGGGATGGGGGGGGAAGAGTTGGAGTTCAGCTAACAGGAGCTGGCTCCATCATGCGTTGCCATTTCATGGTGCCTACAGTGGCTGTAAATGGCAGTGTTAGGAAGGGAATTTTGTTTTACCTAGCCCAGCATGCCAGGCTGGGAATAAAAAGAGATATCTGCAGCTCAATTTCAACTAGGATGAAACCAATGCCCTGGATCCATTTCAGTCTGGCTTCAGGCTGTGCCAGGGTAAAGAAACGGCATTGGTCACCCTGTTTGATGACCTCCTGAGGGAGGCTGACAGGGGCAAAATGTCTCTGTTGGTCCTTCTTGATATCCCAGCCACCTTTGATACCGTCAACCACAGTATTCTCCTGGGGAAGCTCTCCGAGTTGGGAATCAGTGGTCTGGCGTTAGCCTGGCTCCGATCCTTCTTGGAGGACTGTCCTCAGAGAGTACAGCTTGGGGACAGTGTATCGGCTCTGTAGAATCTTAATTGTGGGGTTCCATAGGGCTCGATTATCTCCCCAATGCTATTTAATATCTACATGAGGCCGCTGGGTTACGTCATCAGGGAGTGTGGGGCTTCGTGTCATCAGTATGCTGATGACACCCAGCTCTACATCTCCTTTTTTCTTACAACAGTGGATGCCGCTCCGTCCCTTTAGCGCTGTCTGGATGCTGTCCTGGGATGGATGCAGGCAAATGGTCTGAGGCTGAACCCGGACAAGACAGAGATCCTGAGGGCGGGTGGCCCAGACGTTGGTGGTTTGCGAAACTCTCTCACTTTCGGGGTGTGTGTGACTCTCACCATGAAGACCAAGGTTCACAGTTTGGGGGTACATCTTGATCCTGCGCTTACCATGGAAACCCAGGTAGCGTCTGTGGGCTGCACCACCTACTTCCATCTTTGGCGAATTGCCCAGATGCATCCCTATTTTGATGTTGGGGCCCTCACCACTCTGGTCCATGCACTCGTACTCTCGAGTTTAGACTACTGTAATGCACTCTACGTGGGGCTACCTTTGAGATTGATATGAAAGCTTCAAATGGTGCGGAATGCGGCGGTCAGACTTCTTACTGGGGTGAGAAAACATTAACATATCTCCCCCACTCTGGCGGCCTTGCATTGGTTAGCTGTTCATTTCCACATTGATTTCAAAGTATTAATGATGAAACGGTTTAATACGGTGGGGTCTTGACTTGAGAACGTAATTCGTATTGGAAGGCGGTTCTCAAGTCAAAAAGTTCGCAGGTCAAATCTGCATTTCCCATAGGAATGCATTGAAAACCATTTGATCCGTATCTGCTCTTTTCCGTCCATAGAAACTAATGGGAAGCTGCTATTCCGCTTTCTGCCACTAGAGGGGGATATTTTGTTCCTTTTTTTTCCTTAGGTCAAGAAAGGTTCAGGGAAGGCAGGGAAAATACAGTCCAGGCAGTACCAGGCAGTCTGAAGACTGTCTCCCAATCCACTCTCTAAACGCTGGGAGGAGTGAGGAAGCAGACAGGCACCCTTTTCACTGGCCAACAGTTAACTGAAAGTTCAAATTTTGCACTTTCCCTGCCTCCCACGTGGTTTTTTTCAGTTCTTAACTCAAATCTAAGTATGTAAGTCAAGTCAATATTTTCCTATGAGGGTGGTTTTTAGGTCAAAATGTTCTTAACTCAAGCCGTTCTTAAGTCAAGACCCCACTGTACCTCAATATCTGGCAGAATGCCTCCTCCCACCTAGATCTGCCTGTATCACTCACTCTAGCCTGGGGGAGGTGGTGGCGGCTGAGGGGCCTAATTCTGAGGCAGGTAGAAAGAGAAAGAACAAGAAAGCGGTCCTTCTCGGCAGTGGTCCCTCGGCTTTGGAACAATCTCCTCCCAGAAATCTGTCTGGCTCCCTCACTGGGCGTTTTTAAGAGCCAGCTTAAGACTTGGCTCTTCATACAGGCCTTTCCTCCTTCAATACCTAACTTATTTCTCCATCCTTTAGTGTAGTAATATTGTTGTTTTATTTTATTTTAATACCATTGTTAGCCACCCAGAGTAGACCGGTCTAAATGGGTGTGAATATAAGTTAAATAAATAATAATAAAATAACTAGGAACCGGCCCTTCTTGATGATTGCTGTGATGCTCTAGAAAACTTGCTTGTGGAGGTATGCCAGGTTAGATGGCTGATTGCAACTACATTTCTCACAATAAGGTGTAATTCACCTCCTCACAGTATGTGTTCCTAAAATACTAACAATTAAATAATAATCAAATATTTTTAAGTTAAAAGGAATAATGTAATTCTAAATATATACTTACGAATGTCAGCAAAATCAGAGACTTTCACCTTCTTGATTTTGTTGAAACGTGCATAAAGATAGCCTGTTTCCTTTGGTAGAGGAGGGACACTTTCGATATCTGTTTCTTCACAGTAAACTGAACCGCTTAAACAAGCACATAGCAGGCAAGTAGCTAAGTCTGTTAAGTACATAAATATAAGGCTAAACGTTATTTAAGTAAAAGGCAGGAATATTCAGCCCCTAGTGGCAAGGTTTTGTAGAACAAAATTGTGACAATTAGATTTGTATCCATTTTGTAGCAAATTTATATTAATCTTTGTATTTGACTGTATAAAGAAGTTTGTTATCAGTCAATCAAAGTTTCTTTTCGAAGTTCAACAAAGTCAACGTTTGAGCATTATTTTTATTGGATGACTAAGAAGTTACATGTTTGTTGTGGGTTTTTCGGGCTCTTTGGCTGTGTTCTGAAGGTTGTTCTTCCTAACGTTTCGCCAGTCTCTGTGGCCAGCATCTTCAGAGGACAGCACTCTGTGCTCTGGTGTAGCTGGCTTGGGAGTGGCCAACTACAAGCCCACCACAAAAATACAACAAATGTTACAGTCAGCAAATAACAGAAGGGACCCCATCACCACTGCAGGAGTATACCTTGCAGTTGTGACCAGGTATATATTGGAATCACAAAACGAAGCATCCACACCAGAATCAAAGAACGTGAGAAACACTGCAGAAACACTGCAAACAACCAGAAAAATCTGCTGTAGCTGAACATGCCCTAAAACAAAGTGGACATGAAATTCTATTTCAAAATACCGAAATACTGGACAATACCAGTAATCATTATGTCAGACTGCACAGGGAAGCCACTGAAACCCACAAGCACCAACAGAAAAGAGGAAAGTTTGAAACTCAACAAAACTTGGCTCCCAGCTCTCAAAAATACAGCGTGCAAAAGGTCAACGAACTCTCCCCAGCCACAAGGACTGGGGATCACTACACACAAAGGTCCAGCTAATGACACCCATCAACCAAAGTGACAGAGAATCTCTCCTTCTTATCACAACAATACACCCGCAACAAGACACACTAATTACCCATCTACAGAAAAAGACAAAAGCCCATCTCACAGCCATAAATACGCCACTTCCAAGCCAACTACACCAGAACACAGGTTGCTGTCTTCTGAAGATGCTGGCCACAGAGACTGGTGAAACGTTAGGAAGAACAACCTTCAGAACACGGCCAAAGAGCCCGAAAAACCCACAACAACCATTAGATCCCGGCCCTCGCGAATACAAGTTACATGTTTGTTGTTATTGTTATGTGCCATCCAGTCAGACTGCCCCCATAGTGTCCCTAATAAGAATTCAAGATACACAAGATATTTAAGCAATGATTTTACCAGTTCCACACCCTCACTGAGCTTCCATGGCAGGGATTTGAACCCAGGCCTCTTGAGTTCTGTTATGTCACTCTATCCACTGAACAACACTAAGTATCCATGTACAATAAGCTAAACACTTTCCAAGAACATTTCATCATACAAAGATGGCATAAAACTTGGGATTATGGGAAATAGTGCAAACATTGCCTTAACTCGAAGTATTATACTTTCTTTTGCTTAGTGAAGGAATCTGTAGGAGTAAGCAGCTTATTAATTAATTAATATCCCGCCTATCTGGTCGGGTGAGGACCACTCTAGGCAGCTTTATTTGTACATTCTTAGTGACCTTGTTGGTCTGGATTAGACATGGGGACATATATAAGAACAAATCAGAATATTCATTAAATATCCCTGGTTTGTCAGATATTCGTTGCTTTGTATTCTTGTGGTCCAGAGACCCCAACAAATACGAAGCAATGGATGTAACCCTTTTATATTTGTCCCTTCATTCCCTATATGCTTATGCCCCCGCGGATCAGCTGTTCCTTGGAGGCATAAGCAGAGAGTGGGTTCCCCTTTGGGCTGCTTGCTAAAACCTGCCTGAAGTGAATCCCACCTCTGGGGCTGAGGAATGACTTGGTTCCCCATTCCTCCTCTTCCTATGCCTGTAGGGCATAAGAAGAGAAGGGAAGGGATTAAAGGGATCCTGCAGCAGGATCGCTTTGATCCCTGCTTTCCCTCTTCTTGCTATGCCATGTGGGGCTTAGCAAGAGGAGGGGGAAGGGATTAAAGTGCTGCAGGATCGCTTTGATCCCTGCTGTCCCCCTTTTGCTAAATCGCGTGTGGCGTAGCAAGAAGGGGGAAAGTAGGGATCAAAGCTCTACAGGATCACTTTGATCCCTAATCAAGAAGGGGGAAAGCAGAGGTCAAAGCGATAGCGCAGCTACCACTGCGGGATTGCTTTGATCCCTTTCCCCCTCCTTTTGTGGCTGCCCAATCACTTTGATCCCTGCTTTCTCTCCTCTTCCTATGCCCCAAGACATAGCAAGACGAGGGAAAGCAAAAAAAAAAAAGATGAATTGATTAGTTGTTCATTGGGTCACTGGGGGGCAATTCATGGGGGGTTCATTTTGGTGCTTCATCCCCATCTCTAGTCTGTTTAGATCGCACAGTCATTTTTTAAATCTCTAGTTGAAGAATGGCAGTTTTCAGGATAGCAAAGTACTGAGACACTGGAATGTGTTCAAACTGGCATCTGAGATATGGCATTTTTAGGGTAGCTTTGTTTCTATTTCTGCTTAGATCTCATCTGTTTCTTCCATGTAGAAAAGCATTGCTAGCATTTAATAGCATATACATACAGTATCACTCTGAGCAGAAGAAAATATGGGAAAAAGAGTTTCACATCGGCTGCTGCTTGGAGTTCCTATGATAGCATTGCCTGAATAAATATGGAGACAGAGCTGGCATCTGTTGCAAGACCTGATTCCCTGTTTCAGCATCCCTCTAAGGTGGCTTCTAGTTCCTTTTGCTCATCCAGCATACTACAGCATAAATACAGTGACAAATTGCTACTATTTTATGAGTACCTTGTATTCTATGCACATATTTGAAACAGTTATCTTGCTTGGATATTGTAATATTACAATGAATATGTACTATATTCTGTTTTTCAGGTTTAAAAATTGGTGCAATGTCCTTCAAGGCAGTATAAATTGATGTAAAATATGCATTGCTCAAAACTGTTTTATTTTTAACTGCATTATTCCAAATGTAGGTATTGTGAACAATGCCATTGCTACATATATAGTGGTCCAAATCCTGTTTGTGTAACTTTGTGCAGCATATGCTGATGATATCAAAGGCAAGTTCCAGTAAAATTTATTTTAAATTAATTAAATGTTTAACCCACCCCCCTTTTGAGATTCTGAGGCTCCCTGAGAAAAGCTGTTTGGAGCCTTGAAACAAGGAGGGTTTTAACTGCCAAAAACTGCTGCTGAATTGCTACCAGGATTATGACCACTGGCAGTGACATTGGTTCTTTTCTTCTTCTTCTTTTCTTTTTTTTTCTTTTTTTCTTTTTTTGCTGGATCTATTTTGGATTTTTATTAGAATGACAAAGTCAGTCAATAAGATGCAGCCATAAAATCGTATGGTTGTGTTAGAGTCAATCATCTACTGTATTTCATGAATCAAGATATGTCTAAGTCTGTTAGAGTTACTGCAAATAAAAAACTGCAATACATAACTCTAAAACTGGCTAATAGAGTTAAGATTTTGTAAAGGCCACTGAAGAATACTCCTATTTTAGAGTAGAGGTATGGCTGAGAGATAGGCAGGTGACACAAGGGCTGCAGATGTTTCTTTCAAATTAATCCGAAGTCTACCAGCAGATTCTGAGCTACCGTAGTTTTCTGTGTATAAGATGCTACTTTTTCCTAAAATAGAGTAAAAATTGAGGTTCGTCTTATACATGGAAGTAAGCCTAAAGGGACGTGGTGGCGCTGCAGGCTAAACCGCAGAAGCCTGTGCTGCAGGGTCAGAAGACCAAGCAGTCATAAGATCGAATCCACGCGACGGAGTGAGCTCCCATCGCTTGTCTCAGCTCCCTCCAACCTAGCGGTTCGAAAACATGCAAATGCAAGGAGATAAATAGGGACCACCTCGGTGGGAAGGTAACAGCGTTCCGTGTCTAAGTCGCACTGGCCACGTGACCACGGAAGACTGTCTTTGGACAAAACGCTGTCTCTATGGCTTGGAAACGGGGGTGAGCACCGCCCCCTAGAGACGAACACGACTGGACAAAAATTGTCAAGGGGAACCTTTACCTTTACCTAAGCCAAACCTATTGCACGTGTGCCACAGCTGGCACGCGGAGCCCTCTCTGTGGGCACATGAGCCATGCTGCTGCCCATGCCAGCCTGGTGCAGGGTGTCGCGCCAGTCGCTGCTAGGGCTCAGCTTGAGCTCACACCACCGCCTCGTCCCCTGCCTGAAAGCAGCCTGTGAGTGGTGCTGGAGGCAGTGATCAGGTGGTGACAGCAGGAGGAGGAGGCAAAGAAGGAGCTGTGCCTGGCCGTCCCTCAGCATGAAATCGCTGCTGCCCATTGACTGTGACTCCGGCGCCGCAGGAAAGCGAGCAGGGCAGAACGCAGCGCAGCAAAGTTTAGGAAGCTTAGATGAAGGCCCTGACTATATTTGGAGAGAGGGGGAAAGCGTCCTGTCCACCCTCGGAGGATGCACCGGCCTGGAGGGTGCCTGCTGATTTGGGCACTCAGGCTCAAAAGGGTCAAAATTGGGGCATGTTATACATGGGGGCATCTTGTACACAGAAAAATACGGGTATGTACATTCTTCCAAAACATTTTTTTTCTATTTTATACATATTGTACTGCAGAACTTGTCCTCTTGTTGGAGATTACAAAATATGTTCCTACAGTCTTGCAAATATCTTTGGAGGGTATGTTAACTCCTATCTGTTTCATCATTGCCTGTTGTTAACCATCACTAACTGAAATATGATAACAATGATGCTGAACTATCTAGGCAACTGGTTCCCAACCTTGGGTCCCCAGGTGTTCTTGGACTAAAACTCTCAGAAGCCTTCACCACTAGCTGTGTTGGCCAGGATCTCTGGGAGTTGCAGGTGAAAACATCTGAAGACCTAAGGTTGGGAATAACTGAATTTTAGGCATAGTGCTTCATATACTCAGTACTAAAACTCAGAGCTGAGTTTTGTTTCGGATGCATCCCATGTACCATTGTTGTTTGGGGAAATGCAGCTACTTGGTAGTTGCCAACCACCACCTTCTCTGTGAGAATATACTTGATGTTTAGATTTTAAACGGCTTACAGAAAATCTACAAGAGATGTACAAAGTTGCCACAACTTGTTTCTCTTGGAGAGATGTCATGGATATGAGAGAGGTAGGTGAGGAACAGTGTGATATTTAATGCTTTCTGTTTATCCTTATCCAAGGTACCTGTTACTTGTCCCACATATAAGTGACAAACTGAACAATAGTGCTTGATGCATACATTCTCTAATGTTTCTAGAACTAGTTTGTTGATTTTAAATAAAAAGAATTAAAACTTACCTGTATAATTCGTTGATCCCTCTCCAGTTGCCTCTTCATCTCCCTGCATTTGTATTTCATTTTCATGGAAAACGATCATACCATTCTTTCCCTTTTACATTGAAAGTTAGGAAAACACATAAAATAACAGCAGGTATTAATATATTAATATTCAATTATGGTGGTCATAAATGAAAATGTTATATCCACAAAATCAGCTGAGTTTAGCTAGTCTGCCTGATCAAGTCTGCCATCTTAAATGCTAAATGTCTTGAATGTTTTATGTTACAGTATTTTTATGCTTTATTTTTATTTTTACTGTATCTTTATGCCAAAGACGGAGAGGCTCTATACAGTCAGCAAAAACAAGACCTAGAGCTGATTGTGTCTCTGCTCATCAGCTTCTCATAGCAAAACTCAAACTTAAACTGAAGAAAGTATGAAAATGACACAAAATGTTCCTTTAACATTTCAATTTTCTTGAACAGATCTCTGATTTCTCCCTTTCTATTATTTTCTGCTATTTCTTTACACTGTTCATTTAAGAAGGCCCTCTTGTCTCTCCTGCTATAACCCCATGGAAAATGAGGGTCCTACTGTATACAGTGGTGCCTTGCTTAACGATTTTAATTGGTTCCAAAAAAATCATCGCTATGGGAAAACATTGCTAAGCGAAACACGTTTTCCCATAGAGATGCATTGAAAACCAGATAATGGGAAAGGATTGCCGTCCTTAAGCGAAAATCGCCATAGGAAACATCGCTAAGCAAAACACGGTTCCCCGTTGGAATGCATTGAAACCTTTTCAATGCATTTCAATGGGGGAGAAAAAAAATCACCAAAAATTCAAAAAGAGCCAGAACGAAGCCAAATTAGTTTAACAAAGGGTTTATTAAGTGCACTCTAAACCCTTTTAAAACAATTTAACACCTTTTAAAATTGTGAAAACGGAGCTGTCAAAAACATCGCTAAGTGAAACAGGGGGACCTAAACTGTCATCGCTAAGCGAAGCAAGGTCCCAAACATTGCTATGCGAAATTCCTCCATTGGAAACATCACTAAACGGTGCGCAAGATTGCTCCTAAAACCTCATCGCTAAGTGAATACATCGTTAAACAAGGTAATCGCTAAGCGAGGCACCACTGTATCACTCTTTCACCTAGCAATTATTCTGAATGCAGAGAGTCATAGGACCTTTGACTCTGAACACGCCGAGCCGCAACCACACAATTGTTAATCCTGCTGGCCAGAATTGGCATGAGTACAATGAGGACCTCACAGAAGCAGAAGACATCAAGAAGAGGTGGCAAGAATACACAGAGGAATTATATCAGAAAGTTTTGGATATCCCGGACAACCCAGACAATATAGTTGCTGACCTAGAGCCAGACATCCTGGAGAGTGAGGTCAAGTGGGCCTTAGAAAGCCTGGCTAACAACAAGGCCAGTGGAGGTGATGGCATTCCAGT